TTGTACTTTATTTTAGGTCCTGTGTAAGGCGGTAATTAATTCTATATGTTATTGTCATTAAGTGGGTAATAAGTCACAAAACAAATAATACAAAACATTTCAGAGGTGGGGGCGCCAAAAGTGTCTATGCCCCCGGGTGCTGAGAACCCTTGCTACGCCACTGCTCAACTTGGGTTTCTGCGAAAAACCACAACAATTATACATATCCCTGACACTTGTATGGACTGCACGCCTTTTACAAGCTGACGGAGCATGATTATAAGTGTATTTATTATGAGACATTAGTTTTAGGCCTATTATATTTTCAAACAGTACCTTCTTTATCTAGTCCTTTACTGATTTTCAAGAATTAAAAAAATGTATTATAATAGTATTCCAACTACATTTTTTCGTCATTGTATTCTTACTAAAACAATTGATGATAAACCAGATATTCTGTAAAAACAAGTAAATGTCAGAGTTTGTGCATAGATATAATTCACTAAACTGATTAAGATAGCAAAAAAACATCGTATATGAAATATTTTTTTTAAAGGACATAAACATTTAAAAAAAACTGACGAATAATCATCTAGAAAATACCAGTAAAAGCGATTTCTTGTATATATTAGATCATACACAATAATTGTACTACTGCAAAAAACCTACAAAATATTGTGTAGTTCTTGTCTGGTGGTTTTCCAATACTCAAATAATTAGCCGAACTACAGGCACAGAATTTCAGTTTCACAAAATAAATCCCACATAAAATACTCATAGCATCATTCTAGTGTCCATAACAGTGTATATTACAAAAATATTGCATAACTAATTCGCAATTTCTTGTAACGGGTGATATTTGAATAATTTCCTACTTAGATATTGATTTTTATGATGTATCGAAAAGTGTGATATCGCTCTCTATATAGGGATGGCAGGAGGGATGCCCGTATTAAAGTCATCTTAATTTTCTTCTCTACAGGTCATCATAAGATAGATATGAAGAGATACCTGGAAAAGTCGCTCTATCTCTGGAGTCGAAAACCGGCTAATAGCCAAAAACCGAGATTTTTTTATCACCATTTTTCTTCAACAGGCTTAGCGTCTACATAGTTCTAGCAGTAACTATACTTTTACCATCATTTGATACATCAAAACAGTCTTCACGACCTTTGACTACCTATTTTGCTATTATTATGTGTAAAATTTATAAAGCTTTAGAACACGCTCTATAGCCTAGTAACTAACCTATCAGATTAGATTATTTAAACTTCTTTGTACTTATCATCATAAGCCTTTCACTGTTAGTGTTCCTAGTTATATAGGTGATGTAATAAACAATGACCTTTTTTGTGTGGAAATAAATATCTTAAATTAGCTATTAATTTAACTTACCCTCTGCAGATGGCGGGTCGGAAGGTTTTGAGCGGACTGTGACACTTGCAGGTTTGCTGAGGTCAGTTCCGGTCCTCCAAACTTTTACCTCAACATAACCGTCGCTTTCATCTACGTAATATTCAGGCTCGCCGAAATAGAAGAATGGGACTTGAAAGAAAAATAAAAGCTTTAAATGTTTGTTTGTAATTAAACACAAAGCTACACAATGAGCTATCTGTGCTCTGCCCACCACGGGTATCGAAACCCGGATTCTAGTGTTGTAATTCCGCAGACATACCTCTGTGCTACTGGGAAGCCTTTAAAATGTTATTGTTTTAATTTATTTTACTCAATACTTATTTGTTTGGTTTCAAGAAGTCTAGCAGTATAATCAGAAAAAAAAAATCGACATCAGGATTGAACAATTCTTGGTATGTTGCTGTTATGTGTGATGTTACACAAACACCCAGAAGTCATCCGGATAAAAGACAAAACATGAAGTTAAAATAAAAAACACTTTAAAAGTTATCTACAAAGTTTTTTTAGTGTATATATATATATAACTAGATATCTTACCGTCGTGTTTATCGGGAGCAATTATGACTTTTGTTACATTCTGTACCCCCACTTTGCCCCCCAACGGTTGGGAGAGTCTGATTTTGAAGGACTCATCATCTTCATACAGTGAATCATCAATTATCACTAAACGGCAGTATTTGAGTTCTTCTCCTTGGTTAAATCTGATGACACTTTTGTGACTCTCAGGACGACTGATGAAGTCTGAGAACGACTGGACAGATGCTGGAATCGTCCCTGTTGCAGAACCTGAGACATTAAAAGGACTTAGTAAACTATAGGGTAAACCAATGGAGCATATTCAGTGTGAATTAGTGATCTACATAAATTTATAATCTGAACTGAATATAAAGCACCGTGTGAACAGCGATTAATAAATGTGTTAAATGTGGAAAAAATACGAAGATTAATCAATATAAGATTCAATGTTAAATAATTATTGCAACAAAAATACGTATAAATCTTAAGTTAGATTCTTCCGAAATCACTTCTTACATAATGTCATTTGTTTATTGAGCCAGACACTCCATGTAGGGTGTGGAATATATTTAATATAAGCGTTTGAAATATATTTTCATGCTAAGCAATTGAAAAATAAAATAAAAAACATTTCGGGGGCGAAAATAAAATTACTAAATTTACTACAGCTTTATTTTGAAACTGTTTCCTTGGACGCATACTGTACTCCGTCTGATGGCCATGATTATGAACTATTAAATTTATATTGTGACCCATGTAGAACGACGAGGTCAACCATAGGCCATAATCTTCATAAAGTTTCCACGGACCCTCTAACACCCGCTGTTGTGGTCTTCCGAAATCACATTCAAGCGAACCAAAAGCACAATCATTCTATTAAAATTGCACGGAGGGACTTGACAGGATTATTGTAACTCCAGTATCTTCCACACTTCTCTCAAAAACAGACATCGGTTTCGAGGTGTAACTGAAAACTTGTGGACGTTTGGCTTGTAAGCTTTTTTTATCTTTTTTTTTTTCAATTTCAAAGCCTTGTTTATTATCACGTTTACGGTACTCAGAGACAACCCAAGCTTCATTGTAGCCGTCTTTTCTATTGGAGGATTCTGTTTTGTAAAATAGATTTCAATTTGTGGATGAAGTCGTAGCTCCAAGTTGGCCTAAAGTGTGGTTATGGAGCCCATTACTGTCCTAATCGTTTTGCTCTGCGAAGTTTTTCACTTCTATAATTAACGTTGAAAGCTCCATTCTCCAAAACGTTGTTTTCTTTGACCTTATATCGCAGTGCTTCTCAACCGGGGTTCCCCAGAACCCTTGGGTTCCTCGACAGATATCCAAGGGTTCCGCGAGATATTCTTTATTGGAATAACGGGTTTCATAATGACATAACATTACAACAAGTCACTGCATTGTTTTAAATTAGTGAGCGAGATTAAGTACAAACAACTACTAGTATTGAAGTAACGTTTTTTTTTGTGAAGGGTTCCGTGGATTCAAAAAAGTTGAAACCACTGTTATATCGTTTAACAATTTTATTAAACGAATTTAATTCCTCGGGAAGAACTGTAAGTGTCTCACCAAGCGATACGTCTATCATGACTGGGAGTTCTGTGTAAGCGAAATATGTAGATACTAAACATGTCTCAGGTGGTGCCATGGAAACACATCACTGGGGAAACACATCACTGAAGTAACATACACAGATCATTTTTATAAAGTGCGATTAACCCTTTCTGTGTGTGTATTCGTTTTATATATATATACTATATCTACAGATAACTCTCTCTCTCTTAGAATATGTATAAAAAGAAAACCTATCTTTTACCTGCTTCGGTGGAACAGACCACCATCATCTCCTTGCTAAGATCACCTTTTCTTTCGACAGGCACTAGGATTTCTCCAACATTTTCCTTTACCTCGTATTCTGGTTCAGGAAACTCCACTGTCGAAACTGCCGTGGAAAATAAATCAAGGAAATTATGAAATTCTTGCTTTTTCACTCAGCAGTGCATCTGTTAATAACAAAACTTAACAGTGTTATAAAAGTTTGTTTCTTGTGATGGATATGGAAACATACAATAAATAAGAAATTATTCATTTCTCAATATCTTTAACTGGATAACTTGAATTTGCCCTTGATACTGCTGGACTTGTTATTCAAACCACTACTTAAAATAGTTTTATTACAAACACCTTCACAACACTGCTGTAATAGAACAATATGCGATCTTTTCCATTTACTTCGATGTTCCCAGCAATACCAAAAAACATATTTTCACTCTTAACTTTGGAACACGAGAATTTTTATAAAACGTGTGGGATATTTGAAAGCTTTTTTTCCAAAGATTTCGAGGTTTTACAAATGGAAAGAAATTCAATGAATAGAGCCCATGAACTTCTTTGTAAGTAGGAGATAAATTATTTTAACACGAAAGGAATTAGATATTGGTATTTTCAATCTGAATGTAATCTTACACAATACATGAGTTAAACTGTCTAAAGGATTAGAGAAAAAAACAAAAACAATGATGTTCTCACCGTCTTCGTCATCCAAAATAGTTACTACGGCCTTATCGGGATATTCAGTGGCAGCCATGACTGGCTCCTCTAACAAGATCTCAAACTCTTCGCCATTCTCAAATAAGCTGTCGTCTGTGATTCGAAGTTTCCAATAAGCTTCCGTCTGTCCAGGACTGAACTGGACTTGTTCAGCATAATGCTTACCAAAATCTTCGCCCTGCTTCGCTGTAATGTTTTTCGTCTTAATACCTGATGAACAAAAAATGAACCAATGCTGTTAATGAATACTATATTGGTGATTATAATCAGTACGAGCAGTTCTTCAAAAAAGAAAACAGAAGGCAGCTGTATCTACTAGCGTAACAGAAGGGGGGAGGGGGGCAAATGAGGGAGGCTGCCCTTACCTATAGAAAGGTGCTTTCCGAAATCTACACAAAAACAGTTAGAAAAAAACAGAATAATGGGAGAGATACTGGATTTAGAGTCCTTTGGGAATTTGCCCTCCCAGCTTCCAAATCCTAGCTACCCACTAAACTTGTGTCACATGAAATATATATCATTCATTAACCTTTACCATCATGCTCCTGGCTTCTGACAAGTATCTGATTTATATCTCACTTTTACACTCTATCATTTTGTGACACACACACTTGACATTCGTTACGCCCTTGAAAACATCTAAGCCTTTAAGCCTTTTTTTTAACTGCAACTATTGCACTGAACGCCTATCGAACTCCTGCTATAAAAATCCACGCTAAGATGGTTGTAAGATTCGGCATTCTGTACCAGTTTGTAAAAGATGCTTTAGCCCATAAAATTTTCATTCATTCAAACTTAAAAGCGATTTTTTTCTCACAAAAACAGTATTCTACAAGTCTTACCGATAAATATTTGACTAGTAAAAATCAAATGTGTGTGTATGTATATATATATATATATACACACACACACACACGTATATTAAGTTCATACAAAGTGTTTCTAAGCGTTATCAAGCATACATATATTAAGACTAAACTAAAACTAGTCAAATAATATTAACTTCAACAACAATATTGTTTTCTAAGGGTTTTGTTTTTCTTTATTGTTAAGCACAATGCTACACAATGAGTTATATGTGCTGTGTCCACTGCGGGTATTGAAACTCGGTTCTTAGAGTAATAATACCTCAGACTTTCCGCTGAGCCACTGGGAGGTGGTTTCTAAAGTATAACAACGCAGCTGCGTTTGACTTTGTTTGAATCATAATATGTATTGTAAACGTTGATTTAAATATTTTCATTTGGAAGTTTGCTTTGAGCGCAAAGATGCACAGTGGGTATTTCTGCGCTGTGCCCACCGTGGGGATCGAGCAACAAATCTTAGCGTAACAAGCCCACAAATTTATCACTTAGCCACGTGAAAACGTTTCTATATAATATGATTTTTCATACAGCACAATGTGTTATTTGGATCTTGGACTTACGAGCATATTATATCACACATGATTTCAGATCTTTAGTTTGAGTCTTGTGCGTCTAGTAACAGCTGTCATAATCCCTATGCCCAGAATCTATTTCCAAAGCTTGCCCAAGATTTCATAAATCTAACGTTTTTCACAATAATATTTCCTTTAAGATAAATAACTAAAATCACAATGTGTGAGAGGTAATGTAGAACGACTAAAAGAGAAAGACGACAACTATATGAAGATATATAACTGTGTTTACAATGAAAGCCCAAAATATACGAAAACCATACAGTGTGTTAAAAATATATATCTCGTTTTATATAAGTAAAAGGACACTACGGGCCTGTTGAGTTTGAAAAATATCAGCTACACTTCAACGTCATGGCTCGTGCTAGACTGCGATAGCCTCGGATAGCCGTCAACAAAAACATTGATTTGACAAGAAACATTCTCGCTTTGGAGGCCGCGTCTCGTTAACGAGCCTATAACCGGTCGACTTTCTTAGACTGCGCCCCGTATCATCCGCTTACATGCTCTTCCTATTTCCAACACACATTCCGAATACTTCAGGGGAAAGAAGACCGAAGAAAAGGCGTGTTAAAACTCTCTAAAATAGCAGCACTATAAAAGAAAAAAGCTACACTGATACACAGCGTAACCTCGTGGAATGTCACGCTGCGACAAGTGGATAAAATACGGTCCCGTCGTTTTATCATTGAAAGCGAGTTGGAGCAATATTTTCCACGTCTTGACACCACCCGACATCCATAATTCTATCACTCTACATTTTAAAATTTAACATGGTTGAACCTTGACCTGTACGCTGCTTTGAAGGGTCACCAAGAGACAAGTGCACCTTCAAATGTGGACATTTTTGACAAAGCTTTGTGAGGAAGGTTATGGGACTTAGTGCTACAGACGGAAAATCGTGCTGTTAACTTCAGCCCTAACGGAGTTCACGCTTATTTATTGTCATATGTGTGAATATTTATAGCTTTTTTACCATCTACTAATACGTTATTTATATACATATATATATGACTTTTCTATCAATCATTTTTTCACAGTTTTACAATATGAACTCATTTATGGGCGTCACCAGATTTTTTCGGGGCGGGAGGGGCCGCTTCTGAAATCAATAACGCAACATAGGCATAAGTGAGAAGTGAGTCACTGGTAATTCAGTACATGGTCCACAGCAAGACTCATCTCATTTGAAGAAACACCTTGGCAAACAAAAGAGATTATGAATATAAAATTATAAGACGACGTACCAGTACAAGATTTTATTTCCTCTGACCATCAAAAAGCATTTACGATTTAAAAGGGGGGGGGGGCAGTCATTCGAACCCGACAACCCAACCCTAACGACCCCTATGTATTGAATTGCTACTGCTCATTAGAAACTCACGTTTATAATATAAGCCTATTATACACATTTATTGGTAGTTTTTAACTTAATATTCGCTGGGTCTTGTCCTTGTGGAATTTTGTTTTGCACATTTTCCGTTTAATTATCATTACTGCCATAACGCAAGCTTAATTTCTTTAACCAAGTTACAAACGGCATTCTTATTTACGTGTTCTAATGTAAATCAATGCCAAACTGGGATCCGCTTTCGGGGAATCTCCGTAAACGTTTTTTCGTGAAATACCCGGGTTCCCTAAATGGGTGGGTGAAAAGTCTTCCCATTGTATAAACCTCGGGGTCGAAACGATTCGTTTGGCACCGTTTAGCGAAACCGTGGGCATATGGCTCACATTTACAGGGCGCCTAGAACGCAAATTTAATGCTTGAACTACTAATTTTCAGTATAATGATCGTTGCCGCTATAATGCAAAATTAATTTCTTTAACCATGTTACGAATGGTAATTCGTAGGCCTACTTATTTATGTGCTGTCATGTAAATCAATGCCAAACTGGGGTCCTCTTTCGGGGAATCTCCGTAAAAATGTTTTCGCGAAACACTCGGGTTCCCTAAGGGGTTGGGTGAAAGGTTTTACCTTTGTGCAAACCTCGGGGCCGAGAAGATTCGTTTGTACTACTTAGAAGTTGGTGAGTCCAGCAATTTAGGAGAAGGAGTTTTCGAGAAATCTCCGAGTTCCCCAAGGGACGAGATGAATATTTTTATCTTTTTGCAAGCCGAGACGATTCATTTGGTATCACTTAGAAGTCAGTGCAACCAGCGGTTTAGGATGAATTACATAACACACACACACACAGACACTGAATGTTATTATATAGATTATTTTTAAAAGTTTACCAGAAACGTAGTACTGTCTAAATCGTGGTTATATACATGAAAAAAATAACACCACGATTTAAAAAATATCCTTAAAACCCGAGAACAACAGATAGTGTACAATAAACGTCTTTTCCTATGGTGCAGTCATGTCTTTTCGTACTGATAAATTCAACTCTCTCAGATATGGGTTTTATTGTTTCAGAATTTTCGCGTAGAGCTACTCAAAGGGCTATCTTCGTATAGCCATCCCTAATTTTGAACAAATAGACCAAATAAAACTCTATGACTACTCTTGAGAATTGACAGTCAGTTTTATGGCACATTCAGAGCCCCAAAGTACGTAGTGTTTTCGAACCATGGACCCTCGGGTTCATGGTCCGAGCAGTCTAACTAGTAACCACGCCCAGCCCGTTAGATATGGATATCACTGATATATTGCATAATAAACTCTCTATAAATGTTGGAATGGTACTAAGAAGGGGGGATACCACAAGCACATATATTGTCTATGACGATGTATATCTTCGTGCTAAGAAGCTAAAAGCCCCCCCCCCAGTGGCACAGCGGTATGTCTGCGGACTTACAACGCTAGAATCCGGGTTTCGATACTCGTGGTGGGCAGAGCATAGATAGCCCTTGTGTAGCTTTGTGCATAATTAAAAAAAACAAACAAACAAAACAAACGAAGCTAAAAGTTATCTTAATAAAATGGCGCGGGTCTTTTACATGTGAATAAGTTTAAACTAAATGTGTTCAGTCGTTCTGGCAATGGCATGTATGACAATTGTAACTCCTTAACAATGGGAAATCCATAGCATAATGAAAGAAGGGTACACGATACTAGTACACTTATGTATAAAGTACTCCGTGAATTAAATTATTACTCTATTGATCGCTCATTAATTACATAAAAGTTGGTATAAACAAACATTAAGAGCAAATTTTATGGAGTATTATTTGGCAAGGGAGAACCTGAGTAACTGTATAGCTTTACACACGTGTCTTTATTGAAGCTAAGTCTGCAGCGAAGTCTCGTTCCATGTCTCCCTGTTTTTAGCAGAATGCGTGTCTTTTGGTGCCCCCCCCCAGTGACACAGCGATATGTCTGCGGGTTTAAAACGCTATAATCCGGGTTTCGATACCCGTGGAGGTCCGAGCACAGATAGCCCATCAAACATGCTTGCCTCTTTCAGCCGTGGGGACGTTCTAATGTGACGGTCGATCCCACTATTTGTTGGTAAAAGAGTAGCCCAAGAGTTGGCGGTGGGTGGTGATGACTAGCTAGCGCAGATAGCACTCGTGTAGCTTTGCGCAAAATTCAAAGCAAACAATCCCTTTTAGAACTTCATAGCTTCGTAGTGCTCAGTGTTCAGTCTGTTTCCCGAATTTCTCGAACAAGTATCGAATAGCAGTAATAACATACACAAACTTTACTAACCAAGACCAGTAAACGTTACGTAAAATATCACCAAATATATATATATTTAATTAGAGTGATAATTACCCATTATCTAAGAGCATGTTCGTAAAAATCTATTTGAATCACTGAATATCGCCTGAATAGAAGAAGACTTAACGGTATTTGAAGTACTGGCTTTAGTAAGCGCGAAACCCTAAGCAATATGGTAATCAGATCACACAGTCCTCTTGTGGGTCACGTATTAACAAGGGGCTAGAAGGATTTGTTCCCCCAGTGAAACGCTCTTAAAATTAAGGTCCAAATTACATGCTTAACTGTTATTCTATGGGATGAAATATCACATATTTTGTTGCGCTTCTTTCAGAGAAAAACATAACGAATAGACTTCAGTTTTAAATGTTATTTTTAACTCGCCAAATGAGAAGCCCCAAAGAGTCGTTTGCTTTGCTTGTGGTTAAGGCAGACACTCGGTATTTGATGGCCTTTAATACAGTAACTGCACGCTGTTTAAAAACATAACGTCGTGTAGAATGTTTGATTTTAGCGTTCTTCAGAAAAAAACTGACTTTTAAGCCTGCATAACATACCGCGCCCCCAGTGGCTTAACGATAAGTCTGAAAGCTTATGACGCTAAAAACCAGGTTTCGATACCGGTAGTAGGCACACCACAAATAGCCCATTGAGAAGCTTTGTGCTTAAAAACCATCAAACATAACATATCTAGCTTCAAAAATCGAATTGTTAAGCACGCTCCCCCACGAAGGTTGCCACGTTATCAATTAATTTTTTTTTATCTCCATGTCGTGTAGATTACAATACAGGTTATATCATTGAGAGATTAATTATAGTATTACGTAAAATTAAAAATAGAAATGACTTCACGTATAATATATATATGTATACTTCCTCGTTAGAACTAGTCTTTAAAAAATAACGTTAATTAAGTAATTCAACTCGGTAAGGCTGACAAGGAAAAATTATGTGCGATGTACGAACTCAGTTCGGTTTCCTCTTGAATGAATAACTGTTGACTGTTGAGATGCCGTTATGACAGTTTAAGCCTCCACGTGCATTTTACTAAACCTGCATAATAATAACCAAGGGATAAGACTCTCTTACCGAATAAAACGTGTAATCAAGTTTGAAAGGTTGGCTGTAGAATGCAGATGACAGAAGATAATGTTTCTGTAACAACAGTGAGAAATGTGACAACGATGGTTGACCAGATACTTAGATCAATGATATTATACTACAGCAATGTTAACCAAGGTTAAAGTTATTATACAGTGTTTAATAAAGAACTTCTTGAATATAATAGGTTAGCTATAGAATTAAGCATAACCGACTATCGTAAGCGTAAGTCATAAAAGACCATTAAATTCATTAATTATAATAACTTCCGATCAGAGTAAGCCAAGTACTTAGAGCGTAAATAAAAATCAACCTGGTCAAAAGCACGGCTAATTAAACACACTTTTCTTGCCCCCCAGTGGCACAGTGGTATGTCTGCGGACTTACAACGCTAGAAACCGGGTTTCGATACCCGTGGTGGGCAGAGCACATATAGCCCATTGTGTAGCTTTGTGCTTAACTTCAAACAAACACACTTTTCTTACGTTTCTTCTGATGAAGATTGGAATGCCATTTTTCATCAGTGTCGATTACTTATGTGTGTAATGACACCTTAGGACTAGAAAATGTATTTGTAGTTCCCATTTTATATTTATGGGTGTAACTTTCCTATACCAATATATATGTATCTATCCTGTTAGAACTAGAATTAATATATATATATATGTGCGTGTATGTAACATAAATCCCTCACTGTTCTATGCTTGTAAATATCCTCCATAAAGGTAGTTGGACTAGCTGCACTAAACCAGGGATTCTCAAACTGTGTGGTGCGCCCCCAGAGGGGAAAGGGGAGAAGAGCAAAAAACGTTTCGTCTTTTTCTTTTTTGCTAAACGAAGTTTATTGTCGTCGTCATTGACTATATATACATTGTGTGTGTGTGTGTATATATATATATATATATATATTCGATGACGAGGAACCCACTTTGAGATTAATAATGGCTGGAGACGTTATGTTAAACTTATATTAAAGTTTTTCTTCATTACCCATTTAAGCCGTCTCCAGCCATTATATATATATATATATATATCACGGTTTAAATGAGGTGAATGTTTCTTTCTTGGGTGTGTAGGGCAAAGTTTATTATATAGAAGAAAAGGGGCGTGACGTAAAATATTGAGATACGCTGCACTAAAAAGAACTTAGAATTGCAAAATCGTTAATTAGTTTGTCGCACACCCTGTTTCCACGTACATGCCAAGTACTTTGTATTTCTAATGGCAGTTTAAAATTAGAAGAATTAAAACTTCAAAATCACATGAGAAAACAAACAACTACAGAATATATAAGCATCAGGGTGGAAAGAGTTGACTATGGGTTAGTTTTCTTTCATCGCACTCTCACCTTTGTGGTTTGGCTGACGCTCGGCCTTTGACCTGAAATAGCATTATGACTGTAAGGGAACAAACATCTAATGGGATATTAAATAAAAAGTTTAGGGTTAAAATCTAAGCTTTATTTTTGGAAGTTTTGTTTGTGATTAAGCACAAAGCTACACAAAAGGCTATCTGTGCTTTGCCCACCACGGGTATCGAAACCCGGTTTCTTGTGTTGTAAGTCCGCAGACATGCCGCTGTGCCACTGGGGCATTTTTGGAAGATTCAGTGTAGCTAAAAAGTTGCACCTAACGGAATTATAAACCTTAAGTTCAGCAGACTAACAGGCTAACCTAACAATGTGTGTGTGTGTTACATTTTAAAGAAATCTTATAGATTCACCAATAATTAGAATATTTTTCGTTTCACTGCTATGTCTAGAGCTAAGAATAAAGAATAAGTTATGAAATATATACAAAAGTCACCCTCAAATATGTTTTAATATTTCAAAGTAGTGTATCGTGTATTTTGTTTGATATTTTTCATCGACAGTATTGTATAGCACAGTGGTCGGCAACCTATGACCCGCGGCAATAACTTGGCTGACCCGCCAAAAGTTGGCTTCACCATTGCAACCCGTAAGGGCACAATCATTGTTCAGTTCAAGTTTCTCGGCTATGTGAGAAGAACAACGATATTAAAGGAAAGATGGGAAAGAGTCACGGCTACGGAGAATTTTAAGATCAATTTCAGGGGAAAATATCAAACTGGTCGAACTATTAATTTTTTGTATGTAAATAAACATACACATTTAAAATACATGTTTGTTTGTTTGTTTGTTTTGGAATTTCACGCAAAGCTACACGAGGGCTATCTGCGCTAGCCGTCCCTAATTTAGCAGTGTAAGACTAGAGGGAAGGCAGCTAGTCATCACCACCCACCGCCAACTCTTGGGTTACTCTTTTACCAACGCATAGTGGGATTGACCGTCACATTATAACGCCCCCACGGCTGAAAGGGCGAGCATGTTTGGTGGGATGCGGATTCGAACCCGCGACCCTCAGATTGTGAGTCGAGCGCCTTATCCACCTGGCCATGCCGGGCACTAAAATACATGTACTGGTATTAATAATTATATGATTATCTCTGACCCAACACAATGCTAAATTTTTCAACAAAAAAAAATAATTGACCCGCGATCAAAAAAGGTTGCCGACCACTGGTATAGCAGATTGACATTTAAATTATATACGTCGTGGTAACAGCATGAAACTTCATTTGAAGTTAGGTAACTAAGACACAGTGTCACAGAAAAGCGTTTGCATCTGCGCATGTGTAGCATAACTTACATGAAATTATCAATATTTCTTTATATATTACAATTATGAATCAGAGCTTACAAATAATAATTTTGTTTATTTGTTTGGTGTTAAGCACAAAACTACAAAATGGGCTTTCTTTGGTGTGTCTCCCACGAGTATCGAAACAAGATTTTTAGCTTAATAAGCCTTCAGACTTGCGGCTGAGTTTCTGGGGGGGGGGGGGCTTACAACTAGTAAAAATAAGGGGAAAACGAGAGTTTACATCCACATTTAATATTTGATGGAGTATGATTATTATTGCATGATTGTTGTTTATTATTACATATTTTAAAGAGTTAATAAACTGCAATGAAAAGCTGAAATTTATACAACACTTGCAAGGATGCGAAAAACACATGAAATACACGGTAAAAACACTTGAAAGGATGCGAAAGACACATGAAATACACGGTAAAAATACTTGCAAGGATGCGAAAAGACACATGAAATACACGGTAAAAATAGTTGCAAGGATGCAAAAGTTTTTACCGTGTATTTCATGTGTCACTTCTGCCAAATATTTCTTCACCGATCTTAGCAGAACGATACTGCCTACAAGGTTCAATAACAATTTCTTCACGATTTAAGTGTCAGTTTTCTGACACGAGATTCTGAAATAAATGTGTTATATATTCCCATTAAAACTGTTTCTAAATAAGTAATTAGTTAAATGTAACACAATCGATACATACCAATAAACGACGTTTCGCCTAAATAGCCTCTTCGAAACAGCTTAACTTTCAAGTACTTTTTCGTTTCATTTACTTCGTATGTATCGTATTCCAGAGATATCCAGGCCCAGTTTAGTCGAAAATCCTGACCCGGTAATTCGTTTGCACCTGGTAAAATATATTTATATTTCATTAAAACGTCATATTTTTTGCAAATGGTTTGATCCTTTTTTTATATAACATTTATATATAAAGATTTTACCATAATGGCTTATTTTAAGCTTTTATTTATAACTTTTTTTCTTTTGTAATAAAGCTAAAATCTTAATTAAGTTTGTAAGATAACACAAAGTCGGATAAAACGTTATCAGAGTTTTATAAAACATTTATTACAATGTATCGATATATATTTGAAAAGTAAATCTAACAGAGTGTATTACAGCTAACGAAAAAATCAGTAAATATACAATTAATTACTAGTAAAATCAATAAATATACAATTAATTACTAGCAAAATCAATAACTATACAATTAATTACTAGTAAAATCAATAAATATACAATTAATTACTAGTAAAATCAATACATATACAATTAATCACTAGTAAAATCAATACCCATACGATTAATTACTAGTAAAATCAATACATATACAATTAATTACTGGTAAAATCAATACACATACGATTAATTACTAGTAAAATCAATACATATACAATTAATTACTAGTAAAATCAATACATATACAATTAATTACTAGTAATATCAATACATATACGATTAATTACTAGTAAAATCAATACATATACAATTAATTACTAGTAAAATCAATACACATACGATTAATTACTAGTAAAATCAATACATATACGATTAATTACTAGTAAAATCAATACATATACGATTAATTACTAGTAAAATCAATACATATACAATTAATTACTAGTAAAATCAATACATATACGATTAATTACTAGTAAAATCAATACATATACGATTAATTACTAGTAAAATCAATACACATACGATTAATTACTAGTAAAATCAATAAATATACAATTAATTACTAGTAAAATCAATACATATACAATTAATTACTAGTAAAATGAAATAAGTTAGAATTAGTTTGTTGAATTTCGCAAGAGTTATCTGCGTTAGCCGTTTCAAATTCCGAAAGGAAAGACAGCTATTCATCACTACCCACCGCCAACTCTTCAACTACTCTAATCAAATAATAGGACTGACCGTCATACTTTAACAACTCGCTGAAAGGGCTACCATGTTCGGTAACAGGATTCGTACCTGCGATCCACAAATTGCGAGTCAAGCGCCCTAGCCACCAGATTTTGCCAAGTCCTAACAGCTAAAAAAGGAGGATATGATTAAAGTTAACAATTTCCAATTTTAGCAGTTTTTATTTTACTGCCGTCTTTATGCTGGGATATCTCCACATTGTTTAATCTATGATTAATTAATTTGTTTTATTTTCTTTGTATCCCTGCTCAATATGAGCAATAGAGGATTCAGTATTCTGACCCACCTATATGTAAATATGTTTATGAACGACAGGAATAGCTGCTACACTACGTGGTTACGTTGTGAAACAAGCAGAAAATTGCTACTTGAGGTGATGGTAAATGTTGGAAACCGAGCACTTGCTAACTGATAGTACGTCTGTTGAAATTTCGCCGGTGTTGAAGCATAAAACAGGTGATAATTGTCTTATAGCCTGAACGTATTTTAACCTTCAGCTATAACGTGTCTCCAGATATAACCACTGAACAAGGACAACAGTTTTCCACCTACAACGTGTCTCCAGATATAACCACTGAACAAGGACAGCAGTTTTCCACCTACAACGTGTCTCCAGATATAACCACTGAACAAGGACAGCAGTTTTCCACCTACAACGTGTCTCCAGATATAACCACTGAACAAGGACAACAGTTTTCCATCTACAACGTGTCTCCAGATATAACCACTGAACAAGGACAACAGTTTTCCATCTACAACGTGTCTCCAGATATAACAACTGAACAAGGACAGCAGTTTTCCACCTACAACGTGTCTCTAATTCTCTCTCTTTCTTTTTTTAATTTCTTTTAAATCAGGCCTGACATGGTCTGGGGGATAGGGCGCTCGATTCGCAATCTGCGGTTAGCGGGGTCGAATCCTGTCACTGAACATATTTGATCTTTTAGTTGTGGGAGCATTATAACGCGAAGGTTAATAACACTGTCCGTTGGCAAAGAGTTGGCGATGGGTGACATTGACTAGCTTCCTTTTCTTTAGTCTACCACTTAAAAATTAGGGACGGCTAGCGCAGATAGCTTTCGAATAGTTTTGCGCGAAATTCAATCAAACAAACAAACTTTAAAATTATCCTGTCTCCTTTGCTAATTTATTCTGAATACAAATACAGGGTGATGCAAAATAATATGATAATTCATTATTTTCGCTTCTGTGTATGTTTTTGGTTATGTTAGTAAATCAGCTCCGTTCACGTATCTCAGAGATGTTGCTAGGTTACGAGATGAAGATGCACATGAAGTTGTATGGTGCACATGATGAAGCTGCGTCAGAGGAACGTTTGAGATATAAAACTTAAAGATGAATGGAAACATGTAACTGGAATACAGTTAAATCTTTTAGGGACAATAATTGCCATAAGAACCTTTTAACATGACATGATTTTGATTGCTCCTTAGTGTTTTTGCTCATCAAGTGTGAAAAATAAGAAAAATATTCCAGCTAGCAGGCTCATTCTGTGGTCAAACGCCTTCAGAGTTGAAATACTAATACAGTGACATCATTCGTTACGTTTTTCAAAATACCCCCTGATTTTAACCTGGTTTTTACGAACACGGATAAAAACAATAAATATTTTTCCAAACTATGTAAACAACGTTGTAGTAATATCAACGAAGCAACACCGTAGTTGTATTACAAAGGAAATTGAAACTACAAGTACCACAAAAAAAACCTTTCTTCGTGATTATATTGTACTAGCAGAAACAACGCCCTACGGGCGGCTGTTTGTGCTAGTAATTATTCATCGTAGTATTCATACCTCAATGAAAAAAAAATCAGAAATAGTGAACATTTTCTAAAAAATGATTTTCTTCTGGGAAGTGCTGCACGGGATAACTGTTCGGATTATGCTCTTTAGTCATACGCAATTCATTGCATCAAGATGATTGAATGTACCGAGTTCAAAATGTTCATAAATTTTACTGATATAAACTGAAATGTTTTTATATATTAAAAGTGGTACCGCTTATTGAAAAAGTAATAGTTTTTTAAAAACCCCAGTTTCTCAGTACTACACTTAAAATTTACATCAACAAAGATATAATCAAACCCATACGTACAGTCCTAGTGAAAGTCGTGTTCTTGTTGTGAGGAGAGTACTTTTATTTCAAATTGTGTTCTGTTATAAATAAATAGTTGTTGCACATACTACAGGTATTTTTCTAATTGTGTGAATCTTAAATACCCAAATTATGAAATTTTTATGGGTTTGTGTTTGTGGTGTCATTCAATAGATGGCGTAGGAGTTTTGGTTACATATATAGATACTGACATACACACTACCTCCATTATAGTACAATATGCATGATCACTGAAACATTCTAACACTATAAACGTTCAAAGTTTTTTCACAGTCATCACTGTATATGCGACATAAAAGTTATAACAGCAGAATGAGTGTCCACAGTATCTTTATGAGGGGTCGCCATAGTCCACCCTCCACCTTATGAATGTTTTCGTGTATTATAACACACTCATTTAAATTTGTCAATATTAAAAGTTCCAGTCTCACATGAATATAGAGCCTGATGTATGAAGTAAGAGAAAGCTGTAAAACTAGAGTAAAGACAGTCGTGTAACTGGTTCGTTAGAAACTAGAACTACGCATGAGTAGTTGAATTACCATCACTAAGAAACTCATTAATTTCATTCTTATGACGATTAATCTACTAGCCTGTCTAAAAATACTTCATAGACTGATTGGTAACAAATTGAACTAAATATTATCAATCATAAAAATTAATGTTAAATTATTCTCATTTATATAAACTATATAACTCATCTTTAAACCTCGTTCTTAAGATAGTTAAAATTTATGTCTAATTATAGTCAATCATCTGATTAAAACTCCCGTGTAACGTAATTGATATTCTGTTTTACTGACACTTTCCATTGTCCAAGCACGTATACCAACCTGGTGGAGTTCAAATTACTATAAACGAGTCTCATTGAAGATCACTAGAATATGAAAAGCTAACAAGGTTTTATCTTGGAATGAATGATGACTCATCACTAACAGAGTCGATGATCTTATAAGATCGACGTGTACCAATGTCTGACTGTGGCTCAAGACCATAAAAACAAACAAAAAATCATTCACTCATAGAACGAAGCAAACAAACCAGTGTTCTAGTTACATCTGCTAAATTTTTGTCTTTCACCTTGTTTTCCTTTCCCACGGATTTAATTGTTGTTTATAAATGTTCCAGTCGCTTCCTTTTAACTGGTTTCTTTAAAGCATGTTAGCTTGATAGTTAGCATGACGTGCGTTGGGTGTCTCCAGCCATCTGTTTGGTTATACCTTTGTTTGTACGATAAGATTTTAACGCTTTTATGAACGACATTAGTACGGGGAGTGTCCTTTATCTTCAAATATTGAAACCTTTTCGGGTTGAAAAAGGTTAAATATAAGAATCAAATCTGTAATACCCTTAACAGCAGAAGAGATTACTAAGTGAACTTGAGCTGTTGATTTATGTTTTACCTATCCCTAAAGTAAGATAACGTAGTAATTAAAATAACGAAAAGTCTTAGTAAACCACGTGTAAGGGGGGAGTGGTTTTGGTTTATTTTGAATTTCGCGCAAAGCTACTAGAGGGCTATGTGCGCTATCTGTTCCTAATTTAGCAGTGATAAACCAGCGGGAAAGCGCTAATCAACACCACCCACCGCCAACTCTTGGGCTAATCTTTTACCAACGAACAGTTGGGTTGACTGTCACATCATAATTCCCCCGCAGCTGAAAGGGCGAGCATGTTCGGTGACGGGATTTCGAACCCGTGACCCACAGATTGCGAGTCGAACGCTCTAACCATCAGGCCAGGAATAGGAGGTTCGAAACTTGGTTGATTTGCTATC